TCCCTTAAACATCCCATAACAAGCCTTATGCAGTCTCAAAATGCTCTTCACTATTTCCCATAATAAGTTGATAACCCTTCTCAGCCTGAAAGGTGATCTGAAGAACCTTTCCACTGGATCATCTCTTTGGGTTTCACTCACTGACTGATGAGGCTGGTGGCTCTTCTGTTGAAGCCCTGGGAGAAACTGGGATGGGGCAAGGGGGTTGTTTCCCTGACTGGGTTATTGCGGTTCCCTGCCTGGCATTGTGGCCCTTCCTGTTCATGGAGGTGGGCATTTCATGGGCTGTTCTTGTGATAGCCTTGGCAGCAGCCAGGTCAGGGGGCTTGTTGCTCTTGATTAGGTTATTTGGGTTACAGCAGCTGCCATTGTTCCTCTGTGCTCCCTTGTCTCTGTTAGGATCAGCCTTTTATCACACACCCTAACATTGCCTACCAGAGATGACCGTACCTCCGTGTGCTCTTTGCACAGCACTTCAGAGAAATCTCTTTTGTCCTCTGAAAGGGCTGTGTTCCTGGAACAGACATCTCAGTGCTTCTGCGAAGGGGTCCTTAAGCCCCTCAAGGGGGCCTGTAGGTCTCGGCAAACAGCACTTCAGGTAGCTTAGACACAAAACTTCAAAAGCAATGATGGTTACACTGGTAATTACGTCTGTGCCGAAAATTGCTGTGGTAGTTGTTTTCTAAGGGAACATTTGAAATCCCACTAATCACACTCTCTGGAGATAGTAGCTACAAGTTCATAACAGCTCTGTGAAGCCTCAGCTCACACAGCAAGGAGTGTCCTTTCCACTGTATTTGGTCTGGGCTTCGTGGCTGCTGTTAAATTCTGTCTCAGTTTTGCGTCATGGGGTAAGGTGCCTTTCTGCTCCAGTATGTTTGTAGATAAATTCCTATAGTCAGATTTCCTCCATAAAGGAGTGCCAGGACAATTGGAACAGCTGTTTTTAGTATGAGTTGTGAGTCTAACAAGTAACACATTGGCTAATGAGATGTGTTTTCAGGATTGTCTCATTCACACGCAAGAGGGTAGCATTCCCTCCCCCGCCCTCACCCATGCTCCTAGAGCAAGCCAGACCCCAACTGACATGGTTTGGGTGCACAAAACCTCCTAGGGTTGTTGGGGCCACCCTCTGAAGGACACTCTATTCCAGTTTGCATTTCCCAATCTCAATTAAGAGGATCTTGTAATAAAAATCATTTGGGCTGTGGATGTTGCACCCACCTTCCAATCCCAGTTGCTGTGGTTGTTCACCAGTCCAAATGCCATTTCCCACCTGTTTGACTGGACATCAGCAGCCTTTATAAACGGTTGTTCACGTGTGTCTGAAGGCCCATCTTAATTTTGTGTCTTCTGATAAGCCTCAGCCCTGTAACCCTTGCAGCCATTGGTGTCCATTGACATCCCGTATCATACAAGAGTTCATGAAAGGTTAATGGTACTTGTGTATAGGTGGTCTCCCAAGTCACCTTGATTAGTCCCATAGGGTTGGATTGCAGAAGTTCCATTGAAACTTTTACTTTTTCAATCCCTAGTGTGGTTGTTAAAGTGCTATTAGACTTCAAAACCTGTTTGAAGGCTATTCCTCCTCTGTTAAGGAGTCCTATAGTTGCCTGAAGGTGGTTAGTATGGGCAGATGCAGGCAATTTCTTTTGCCTTCCAGACCCCCAGGTCCATGGTTTTCATAAAGAGTTTATTAGGTTGTGCATTTTGTATTTTAAAGGGTTGATTTTATATGAGCATAAATAGTTCTGGCCAGGTCCAATGCCTGGTTCTTTCAGCTGCCGGAGCCACTTTAGAATAGTTAGCACAGAGTGATCCAGTGAACCATAACTCTGGTCTGAATTCAGTACGAAAATCAATTATATTTGCTGGTAGCACTTCTGGAGCCTATATCTTGGTCTGCTACCACAACAAGGAAACACTAGTAATGAGGGACTGGTTAAACCTTCTTCAGTTTTCCTACATGTTTTAAGTATGTCAAATCTTTCAGGGCCTAAATGGTGAATCATTTTTCTCAGGACTTTCTTCATTTCTTCCTGTCTCCATGTGGTAGGTCATGGTCGATCAGAGCTTAAGGTTGTTGAAATACCTTTTTTGAGTCCTGTCTCTACAGATGATAGTAGGAAATAGCCTCAGCTTTCAGGATGCTCTGTCTTTGAGCCTTCCTACATATTATCATAAATTTATAGAGCTGCTTCTCTCAGTAAAATATTAACACCAATTAATAGAAACCTGTGGTTTGCAGCAGTTACTTCTTTGTATTAAATGGTATCCAAGCCAGAGAATTAGATCTAGGCTGGCTGCTTACAAGTTCTTTTATGAATTTTTCATCTTCCTTTGACAATTGAACACTTTGGTAAAAGTTTCTTTAACAAAGGATTTTGTATACATGGGTAATCATGTCAGTGTGGAAACCCTGCCTTCTGGGAAGGCTCCTAGTGTTATGCTGGATATACAGCTTAGCATTTTAGGTATGATGATCTTTAATTTATACCTACAGAGAGATGGATGAAAAAGGCTGTTGGAAGTACATAAAGTTTATTCCAAAGTCCTATGATTTTCCTTTCCCAGAACAAGTAGCAGTTTTGAGAAGGAAAATGGATAGCCTATTCTAAGTTAGTGTAGGTGTACACAGGCTTTTCCAATTAACTCCTCTTCATACTGCTAATTATGGGAGTGAAGGAAGTGTTGTTTGGTTTCCAGGCTGAGACTGACATTTTAGACAACCAAAGGCACTAACTAGGCAAAATACTCTTAAGTGCATCTCAAAAGAACAAAAACTGTTCAATCTTCCATAGCAAAGTTCTTGTTCCCTAGTACAGCAAGACTATGGTAGTCTGGCTTAATGCTATTAAAGAAACTGAAAAATCTAGATGAAGTTTCTTCCCCTGAAGGAGGAAAATAAAAATAAATTATAGTGGAAGAAAAACATCATATATAATAGTAACTTGAGTCTTACATCAGCTCTGACTGCATCTGCACCCTTTGTGATTCTGTGTCATACTATTTTCCTCAGTCTTGAATAAAAGCAAAGGCGAATCTAGAAAATTCTGTATTGGAAACTTTTGGTAGCAAACGTTTAAGAAAAAGAAAAGTAGAAGAAATGGTCTTGCCACCCATCTGGATCTGATTTTAGGTAAAAAACACTACTCTTTATATTAAATGTAAACCAACGTAAATTAAATGTATATTAAATGTAAATCCTGGGTGCTACAGGCACTAAGGAATGCATTTTCTTACATACGTTACGTGTATTTTTATCTTCGTTACATCTCTCATCATTGTAAAACAACTAGTGCTAATTGTGTTTCTAAATCAGACACTTTTTATCATACGCGAATGCCTTTTAAGGTGCAAAGAGGTAAAGTAGTATGGATTCTGAAAAAACAGGATTATTGCAAAATGAAAAATATTATTACTGAACAATTTTAAAAAACTAAATCTCATACCTTCTTACTGTTCATTGCACAGTTAGGATATGTGGATTGCTTCACAACAGATTTTTTTCATGCATATTCTTTTACTTTTTGGAAGGCATGTCCTGAGCTTTTTACTTTTTTTTTCTTCGTTTATTATTTGCTATTGTGGTAGTTAAAATGTAAAAATAAATGCAATAGAATTAAATTTACTTCCTATTTTTTTTATAATCTATTCAAGGAGGAAAAACCTTTGCTTTATGACAGATGTGGGAACTCATTCTAATTATTTTAAATCTAAGCTTGCCTTCCAGGTTAGGTGTTGAATTTAATAGCTGCACTTACTATTGTCCCCCTCCAGTATACAGCTGCACCAATACTGATTGAAATGAGAGTAAATATATACAAAAAAAGATTAACTGGAGAGGATGCACATCATTAAATTTTTTAAAGCCTCACAGTATTTAATAGCAAATGTTTATTTTTTTTTATGGGTGCTGTAACAAGCAGAAAGAAATTTAAAAGGAAAATATGTAGGAGCCAAAAATTCCTTCTGTCAAATCCTGTGCTAACTTGACAGCAGAAAAAGATAAGATAGTCAGCATTTTCAATGATAGATCATAAAAACATAAGAGATCCCTTGTCAAAGATATAGGGCTTCGTTCTGCCATATTTTGTGCTGGTTTGTCTTTATCTTGTAAAATTACTTAACTCTCAGAGGAACAAGCTTCCTGAAACCTAGGTAAAGAGGCAGTTTGTGTCTGCAGAGTCTGCTGAACCAGGGCCAGCAAACAAGCACATTGTAGGACTCTGTGTTTCCTGCACACTTAAATTATCTATGTGAGAGGGACTGAATCACGTGAAAGAACAGTCTCATGAAGATTTTGTGTAAGAAGAAACTGATTTCTCATTTATCTGAAGCTGGGAACGGTACTTCCAGTATGGGCTGTGGTTGTGACATCTAATTGCACTAGGGATACTGACCTTTTTGAGGAAAATACAAATCAATGCCACTTTGCTGCCCAAGAGCTAAAAGAAAGACTAACACCATAGTTCCTGTTACTAAGTAGAATAAATGTGTTTATTTGAGTAATCTAAAACTGACCTAAACAATAAAATAGGTGCTACCAAAATAAAATAACAGTTCTGATGGGAATTCTTCCATAAGGAGAACTGACAGGTGGAGAGAATCAGTAACAGTTCTGATGAAGTGCCAGGTGCTCCCCCCAAGTCCTCACAAAATATAGGAAAAAAGCAGCCCTTAAAATAAATAAAATAAATTGAATTAATAGAATTCTAGGGCTTAGCTCAATGAGAAGCTCATAAAAAGATTAGTGCAATTATCTTGCTGTCGGTAACTGGATACTGGGAAACTGGGTACTGCTAGCACCTGTGTCTAGAAAGGATGTTGAACACTATGTTTGGATGATTTATGATCAAGCTATTCATTATATGTTAAGCCAACCAGTTTTGCAGGTTTCTTGTCGCTGGTGCAATGTTTATTCTGTTAATATCTCGTAAGGGGATATGGGAGACCGTGTTTGGCAATTTTTACTAAAATGTAAATGTTTTCCCTTTTAGTTATTCAGACATTTTGATTGAAAGGGAGGTGTTAATGCAGAAGTACATTCATCTCGTCCAGATTGTAGAGACTGAAAAGATTGCAGCCAATCAGCTTCGACATCAGCTTGAAGATCAAGACACAGAAATTGAGAGACTTAAATCTGAGGTATGTGCCAGAGCCGCCAGGCAATAACTGAAATACAACATTGTGCTCTGTGTGTGGCAATAATACTCAATATTTCTGTAATATTTGTGAGAATAATGAGACCCAGTAAGGTTAATATGTAATAGTCTCCCTGTGAATTCTTGGCTAAATATTTTTCTTAGAAATACTGGGGACTGCTAAACTGACTGGATTACCTCTTTGTCAGAGACTGTAAGATGACACATTTCTATGCCATATGGGTGCCATTGATTGTATTATTTCCTACCTGTCTTCACACTAGGCGTTTGATCCTTGACACATTGTCTTTGGTTGTAACAGTATTCAGAACTATTCCAAATTGCTCTATTTCACTGAATGTTAGAAATTTTGATGTAGTCCTGAGCTGATAAAGCCTGAAAGGCACACTTGGTTTTGAGAGGAGTGCCAGCTCTCTGGTCCTTCCTCCATCTGGATCAAGAGCCTTGTTGGTTTTCAGAGAACTGTTCTCATGTCCCTGTGACCAAATAAGTGTTTGTCATTGTGTGCAGCTTTAACAGGGTTGAAGAAGGGGACAATATTTTTCTGCTAGTTCTGTAGCTAGGAGTTTCACTGACTTGGGAAAGCATTTAATGAATGGTTGTTTTTGTCAGATTATAGCTCTCAATAAAACAAAAGAAAGAATGCGACCTTATCAAGGCAACCAGGAAGATGAGGATCCAGATATTAAAAAAATTAAAAAGGTAAACATGGACTTTCTGTGCTTAAGAGGAGAAGGGTGGGATGGGGGGATATACTGTATTTCAGTCTGGATTTGTCTTTTATTTATTTGGTTAAGTACAGTCAAATAATAAGATTCCTTTTGCCCTGTCCCTACTTAAACATCTTAAATTATATCAGCTTCCTATGTTTCAGTGCCACATTTACCCCCCATGGTGCATTTGTTACTTAAGTATTCATTTGAACTTGCAAGGTATATATTCAGTTTCTTAAAGAAGCTTGCACATTGCATTCAACTGCTTGTAAAGACTGAAATTAAGTGATGGGGTCATGGGCCTTTCCTGGGGGAATCATGTACACAGTGACTTTATACTGCTTTCTTATAAAATGCTTATAAAGATACAAGAGTATGACACACACTCTCTTGCTGCAACTGGAATACAAATATTGAAAATGCAAAGGGCAATCTTGATTTAGGTTGCCAGCCAGTCTGTTTGATGGTGATTGTTCCAGGATGCTAGGGCCAGTGTTTTTTAATAACAGGGAATTCATTTAATAAATGGCATTCTTGCTTGAATTTGTGGTCCTGTATGTGTCACCCTTATTCTCACAGCATTCAGTCTCTTAAATTGCATAATATCCTTTATGGTATGTGGACTTAGCTTCTGACTTTTTCTGGATGACACAATCTGAGTCAGGGTCAGCACTGAGCTGGTACCCTCGTGTGACTTTTCATTTTCGTGTAGATTAAACATTGTAATAGAAGTTGGAAATGTCTCTTAGCAGAAGGAGAGCTCTGATTCTGTATATAATTCACTGCGTTCTACCGTTCTACATCTTGATTGTTTTGACAAGTAGGTCCTTTTTTAAAAGTTGTTTATTCAGAGTAAACTGCTACCAGTGAGATTTCTTTTTCAAGATGAATGATCTTCACATCAAGATCAGGGCAAAGACATACCGAGATTTTCCGTGAGCAGATGTAGACCTTTTCTGTAATCTTTAGTCCATGTTTAACTTCGATGGATATTATGCTTAAGTAGATTTTTCCATGACATAGAGGTACTTTTTAAGAATGCCAAAAATCTGCCTTTTCTGGCTAACAGTATTGCTGGCCTAGTCTGATATTAAGGAGTGTATTGATACTTAGCTTCAAATACATATGCCAAGTTGTATCTATTTAAAACAGAAATGAAACTGAGCTTAACAACTATTTTAGAATTACGTCAATAACGACATTAAGTCTGTCTTGAAGCACGTTACCTGGAATCGTTGCACAATACATTTAGGGGTATAAGACAAATGTGTCCGGGGAGGTAAGAGGAGTTGAGAAGCCTGCACAGCACGTAGCACAGTTATGCTGACAGGAATAGTATATACAAAGGTACAACACTGAACTTGCAGTAAAAGGTACCTTGATTCTATGTCGTATCTTTTCAGTCTGTTTCCTGGCAACAGATATGACCAAGTGATTGTGGGAATTTCATTAACAAACAGAAATTAAAAAAAAATATAATTCAGGAACAATTATAGATCAATAAGGGTGACAGGCTTTTTTTTTTTTTTTTTTTTTTTTT